ATAGATCCCATTTGAATCTTTCTTCTGTTGTAGTTGAGAATTGTGAAGGATTTCAGCTGCTGTGTTGGTTATAAAACATATAACATGTGAATTTCATGACGGGCTTGTGCTGGAGTGGAAAGCTCTGTAAAACTGGGATGGGGTGAAGGAAGGACAAGCTCATCTATCTGTACTCACTGAGCACCTTCTATATATGAGGCTCTGGACACCTAGAGGTGAGAAGGACCTAATCGTTGCCCTTGCAGTATTACCAGCGGGGATGACTGGGGACCACAATAAAGCTGACGTTGTGTACTTTCTTGCAACTAAAAGTACTTTGATTGAGACTCTTAGTGTAGGCACTGTGCAAAATAGGGCATGCCGATCCTCAGATAAATAGGGCGTGGCACCTGCTTTTATTTCAGTGGTGTAGGTTAACACAGGCCCTCAACTGTAGTTCAAGGTAGAATATGAGAGATGTCAGAAAAGAGGTCTGGCCAGAGCACCTCAGGAGTTCAGAGGAGAAAGATGACATGAAGTCTTTGTGTGGTGGGGTGAGTGCCCTTGGGGAAGGCTTTTTTCTGTTTTGCAATCATTTCACCAATTCACTAGGCATCTGCGAGGGCTCAGCCATGGTGCCAGGGGCTGGGGTGTAGTGATGGAAGAACCTCTGCCATCCAGGGGCCTCCCATCAGGTGGAACAGAGCAAATAACAATACAGGATTTCTTCAAATCTAAGTCCTATTCATTTTCAGTGCTATTCATATCCTAATTTAGGAAATGTTAAAATTTGGAAAGAAATTTTAGAATTAATGAATTAAGGTAGTAACATATAAACCAGAGTGCTACCATGGACACGACACTGTCCTGAGTGCTTACACATAGCAAGTTCTGCTTAATGGAAGACAATTATTTGAATGACAAGGGCCTTGCTCTGATTAGGGCTGTGAATGAATGAATGAATGAATGAATGACTACTAGAAAGATAAACTCTCTGTCCCTCACCCTTGGATCATCTGGTGAAGAGAGTGCTTTATCTAAGAACATAGATCTTTACAAATGGTTATTTTAAAACTTTAGTGTTATCGAGGAAACAGCCACTAAGAGATAAATGTCTTAGCAATGATCCCATTTCTGATTCCCTTTTCCAAAATTATCCTTGCTATATTTTTAAGAACTTTGGAAGTAACTTGCCTACATTAAACAGCATTCTGTTGGTATTTATATTCAATATTAAAAATGTATTATATTTAAAGATTCATTTAGGGAAAATTAACATCTCTATATTTGGCATCTTTCTATTTAAACACAAGATATATTTTTGCACTTATTCAGATCTTATAGATGATTGTTTAAATCATTACATCATTTCACATTTCTTTTTTTATAATTCCAGTTCTTTCTTTGGCATTAATTAGGAGGACTTGTCATCTTAAAATTTGAAGAACCTTAGGGGAGAGATCTAGGTCCTCCTGAATTAATTAATTCACTCAGTTAAAAAATAGTTGAGGCCAATTATGTACAGGGACAGTGCTACTTGTTACAGAAACAACGTTGAATAAAAAGGGATCCCTGTTCCCAGAGTGTATAATCTATAAATAGGTATTTATTTTATTCCCAGCTTGTTTATTATTCATCTCTGTATCTTCTGGTATATTTAATGTGATTTTTCCTTAGACTCTTTCCTGGTTTAGGTTTTTTAAAAGCACACCCCAAGACAAGAATTTGGGTACAGGCAGTTTGCTTGGAGAGGGAGTGGGAAGGTGAAGGAGCAAGAAGTAGAAGGGAGGAAAGCCAATAAAAAAAAAAGTGCTAATGAGCAGGTCCCTACAGTGGACAACTGGAGCTCAATCCTGGTGGGTACCTTCTGAGAGACTCTACAGAAAATACTCTGAATCAGCCCATCAAGGGGCAAGGAAACTGGGGAATTCCTGTTTTTTTTTTATGGGGACATTAACTCCCGGGCACATCTGGCCTGCCCTGTGTGGCCAAGAATGCTCTTGTAGCCAAAGATTCTCCTCAGCCAGAGGAATGCAGGTGCTTGAAGTAGGAAGCCATAGATAACAGGGGACTGTCTGTGGAAGTTGCAGGTGATCTCAGAACAGGGCTGAGGGGACGCTGATGGCATCCACTATACACACTGTCCATCTGGAACAGGGAGCAATCTTTGGGAAGTGTATTTACACAGAGTGGGGGAGGGGAGATAATGGGAGAGAAAATCAGACGGTGTGGAAAGTCAGTGTAGCTCAGGACAATCATGATAGTGTTGACCAATATTATCGATTTCTCACAATCAATATTTCACATTCCATTTTGAGTCGTCAGTGAATCCCATGGCAAGGTTAGTGATGCCTTTTGGATTTTGTGAGTTGGCAGGGTTTCCTCTGCAATGCTTTTGGAACATAATAGGAAAAGGATTTTTCAAAAAAAGCTTACCTAAATGTGTAACACTTATCTACTTTAATATTTTAAGTGGAGAAATAAAAAAATAATAATAGTTATGACTTTGAAAGCTCTATTTGACAATAAGTGAACATGAGGCAGGGGACATAATGGAAGAAAGAGCACTGCCTTCAGTGTTGGCTCTGAGTTTGATCCTAAATCTTTCCACTAACTGGCAGTGTGACCTTGGACAGGATGCTGATCTGCCCTAGGAGCCAGAAAGTCCTTATCTGGAAAATGCCACAGTACCTTCAGCAGAATATTTCCTTTGGGTTTTTCCCAAAGCAGACCCTGAGGAGAGACGCTTTTGGAGCTGAAGAGTTGGGGGAACTTGTAAACTTCAGCTATATTGTGCCTCTGGAAATGCATGGTCAGCACATGGCTATTTCCATTCGTTAGTTCCAGTGGAATCGCTATTTTTAGTTTTATGATTTTTTTCTTGTTAATAACAAGCAAGCTATTGTTAGAGTGGCACACTTATTGTTGCTATGGGTTGTTACCTTTTCTCATAAATAGGATGAGTCTTAGGGAAGGTGAGTAGTTTTTCTTTGTTGAGCATATACAAGCAAAATACTCGATGGGAAAAAAAGAATTTGTTCTGGCAGAGTAAGGAACGAGGGAAGGACAGGAGTGGTGTGGGAAACCTGTAGCCTCACATGATGGAAAGTTTAATGTAAAATCCAAGGCTCATGTCTCTACCCTCCCCTACTTTTCTTTCTTCTTTTTTATTCCTGGGTTTTTTTGAGGGGAGGGTTTGGGTAATGGTTCTAAATAAAGAAAACTAAGTGCTTTTTCTGATGCCTCAGGTGTTTTTTTTGTGGCTGTGATATAGAGTTGGCAAACACTATTTTGGTGAACTTGTTACAAACTTGCACTGTAGACCTTTAGCAAGGGCACACTTTCTCAGAGCAGAGAAAGAATCGAGCATTTTTCAGCTGTGCCTGCGTGTACATTCATTTGTGTGTGTGTCTTCCGGGCTGAGGAAGAGAGGAGGAGGACCTCTTTTCCTCCTTCCAAACAGACGTCTAGGCTTCTTCAGTCTGAAAGATGGGAAGACAAAGAAAGCCAGGCATGAATCCAATTAGTCTGTCCAAACCTTGTCTTCCAAGATAAGCAGCTCAATATCTGAGCTGCATCTTTTCTTATGCCAATATTTGTATGGAAATTTACATAACATTTGGTAGAGTATTTTTTAATATTTTTATTATTGATTAGAGAGAGAGAGAGATATCAATTTGTCGTTCCACTTAATTTATGCATTTGTTGGTTGATTCTTGTATGTTTCCCAATCAGGGATGGAATTGGCAACCTTGGCATATTGAGATGACTCTCTAACCAACTGAGCTACCCAGCCAGGGCCCCTTAAGCAGTATTTTTCTAGTTGGTTAAATATGGCTTCAAATTCTTTGCTGTTCCTCCCACTGAGAGGTGGAGACTAATGTTTAACCAATAGAATGTGCCAGAAGCAGTGTTTAGAACTTCTGAAGCTAAATCTTAGAAAGCCTGTAGCTTTTGCCTGGGTCTCTATGAACACTGTCTTGGAGTGAGTCTTGAATGATAAAAATGACCACTATTGTATCTACCCGTTGAAGAGGTCACATGTGACATCTAGGTATTCAGGTCAACACTCACAGCTGAGGCCGGCCTGCCAGTCAGGGTGCCAGGGACATGAATAAAACTGTTTTACACTCTCTAGAACAGCCTGCCTACCAGGTGAACGCCTCGTTGATGTTCTGTGGGACAGGAGAATTACACAGCCATGCCATGCCCAAATCCCTGAGATATAATAAAATGATTATTGTTTTAAGTCACTAAGTTTTGGAGTAGTTGGTTAAGCAGCAAGAGATAATTGGAATAGTAATATAGAGAAAAGAACATATTTTGGAGTCAGTTCTGGAGTCAAATTCTAGCTTCATTGTTTATCATTATGTAATCACATTAGTATGAGATGTTAATGAGTGATATAGTTTCCTCCTGTGTGCAAGAGGTAGCTATATCTACCTCCCAGCCTTGTCATGAAGATGAAAGGAGAGAACTGGGTCTGGCACGCGGTGAGTGTTCCTTTCTCCTCTTTTGAGCCTCATCATACCCTCCTTTGGTCGCTTTCTGGGATTCCCAGGGAGGGGACTGCAGCTCTTGGCACCCTCGCCCCAGCTTTCCTCAGGGGTTTGTTCTCTTTAATCTCTTCCCCAGCCACCCATGGCCATACCTGTTAAAAACCACCATTTAAGACACAGGGGAAAAGCACAGAATTCCAAAAGTGTGTCCTCATAAAATGACCATGGAACCCTGTTCTAGAAAAAAAAAATGATCGACTTGACCTTTTAATACTGTACTTGAACAGCTACTCCACTTTAACAAAGAATCAGGGAAGGAAATATAGAGGAAATAAGGAGTTACAAAGAGAATTAGTTGGGTGTTTTTGGTTTTTTTTTTTGAGAAGCTTCCTTGTAGATAACAGACTACCTGTTTTTTACTTGAATCTATCAGAAGCAGGAAAGAGAATAGGGGGTGAGACTAGCAAAACCAGGACATAGGAGTGGCTTACAGGTGGAGGCTCTTTCTCCCTCTGTCAGTCATCACGAGGTCGCCCAGGTGCCAGCAGGTGCCCATCCAGGCTCCATGGTAACGGGAGCTGTCACAGCAGTGGCTCCAGAGAAGAGGCCCAGAATGGACATCTGAATGACAAGCCTTTGCTCCTATTTATTTGGAACAATGAGCTGACGTAAAAACTTTGTGAGTCACGCTGCTGTTGCTCCTATGTTCCAGGCAGTGTTCTACCCTACACAACAAGTCACAAAAAGTTACTCCCTTTCACCCCTGCCCCCAGATGTTTTCACATGCTTTACCTCCAAGAAGACTATTTACCATCCAGGCTTGGAGCCAGGTCTCACCCACTGTGCCTTTCACACTCTCCTCTTTGCTTTTATCCTTGTCTGTGTTGTACTCACATTCCGGACACCTGTGAGATATTTTATAATGGCATGGCTGGCCTGCAAGTGGGCCCTGACTGAGATTTGGATGCCTGTTCCTTCCTTGTACATTTGTGTAAATTCATGTAGGCCCTTTGAAACTTACTGGTATATTGGGTAGTGTTCAGGAAATTCTAAATACCTGGACCTCAGGCCAGGATTAGTTCATAACAAATATATGCATTTTTAATGTTTAATAAATTTTGTAGTTAGGGTTATTTAAGCTTTCAATTTTCCGGTGAAGTAGAAATTCATCTCATTTTATGGAGGAAAAGACTGAGGTTTGGAGAAATTATTCCCAGAGTCATAGAGCTCCTAAGGGACAAAACAAGACCTTAGGTCCATGCTGCTTTGTTCCAAATCTAGTGCTACCCCACTATTTCATTCTGCTTCCTGATTTTGATCAGCATAAGTAATAACACCTTTCTTGTTCCTAAGTTGGATTTTCAAGTAGGCGTGTAGGGTCTTTTCCTACCAAAGCAACCAACATTTTGGCTGCAGAATTGACTGCAAGGCCCCAAAACACCCAGATTTTTATCAAATCAGCTGCCCCCATATTCCAACCAATTTGCCTTGAGCTTTTCAAGAGCATTAAAAGTCACGGTTTATGGAGTTCATTCAAGATGCCCTGTGACAGTCCCTTTACATATCTTAGCCCATTTAATCTCATACCAGCCCTTAAGATAGGTATTATCATTCTCATTTTGCAGATCAGGAAACTGAGGCTCAGAGAGGTCAAATAGCTGAAGAATTATGGAGCTGAGATTTAAGCCTCATCTTTGACATGAGTCATGTGCCTTTTGTACTCTCCTTGTTCACCCTGCCCTCAGCCCTGGGACCCTGCTTTGCCTGTCAGGGAGAGAACTGGAGCCTTTAGCTTCCATCCTAGGAGGCTGGTAACTTCTCTCTCTATGTGTTCTTCAATGGCTATGCCACTCAGTAGAACAGGGTTCCAAAGGAAGATGGAAGAGAGGCGTTCAATGCTGGATAGAAACCAAATGATGTTGTTCACTACACGGTTACTAATGGAGCTTTGATAGCAGGCCTTTGGTGAGGAGACTGAGTCACAGCATGCCACAAGGAGCTTTTGCACATTAGGTTTATGATGTAGTTCACAAGATCAATCCCACAAGATGAAGGGTCTATGTGTAATTTTTGTATGTATCAGATGCCGAGGGATCTGTGTTCCTGCCCTTCCAGAACTCACCCTTCTCCCAGCCTCAGTAGTCTGTAGGAGCCAAGACACCCATTTATCCTTTTGAGAGGTTGCTATAATAACATTAAAAATTGGTAGTCTTTATTCCTGACTCAGAACTAGATCACTAAGATGAGAAGTTTGCAATGAGGCCTTGGGTGACTAGTCCCTATTACCCCTCAAGTGGTCACTTCAGCTAAGCAGAAAGTAAAATGTTTTCTCAGAGAACAGGTCCCAAGTTTTGTCCATTTTCCATCCCAGGCCTGTGTAGGAAATCTGCAGCAGACTCCTGAGTTTGACCAGGAAATTCTTTATTTAGTAAAGATAAGTTGGAGTGAACCAGTTCCCATGAGCAGGTTTTCCTAGGATCCAGATCCTACCTGTACCGATTTCTAAGCAAGAACATCAGTGTAGCAATAATTAGGCCAATCGCAAATAAATCCCAGTATGATCCAAGGTTATTGTCCAGTTTTATCCATTTCCATCTCATTGTAAACTGCTGGGAAGAGACATTCTGTTAAAAAAAAAATCCAAGCCTCCCACTTTATCAGAGCCATTGTCTCCCTCCATCCCACCACCTAAGAGTTGCTCACTGGACTTTTCATAAATTCGGGACCTTTTTGAGACAAGCTTACATTAAAAAACCAGATATCTTGGAGCAAATGCACAGTTTCCAGTTTCATGAGGGCCAGGAATACAGGTATCTGAGCGTCGGGACTTGTTTCAGCAGCCATGTCATATAATCTCCTGGCTAAGTGAATGTCCTGGAAGTAGAAGAATAGGCCTGTGCTCATTCGGTGCAGATTCTTTAGGGGTAAATAAATAGAAGCCATTGTAATTTATCTTTGGTAAGCAAATGTTTATGTCCTATTCCTTGGAGCCTGTGAATATGTTATGTTACATGGCAAAGGGGACATTGCAAATATAATTAAAATTACAGAACTTAAGGCAGAGAGATCCTGGGTTATCCAGGTGGACTCAGTATAATCACATGGGCCCTGAAACACAGAGTTTTCTCGGGGCTGAGGGCAGAACAAAAAGTCAGACAAATATAGTAGAAGGAGACATCAGGAGTTTTAGGCATGTGGAGTAGTGAAGGATTCATCCCTCCATTGTGGATGGCTGGCCGCATGGAAAGAATGAGAAAGAATGTGGATAACCAGCAAGGAAATTGGGGAACTCAGTCCTACAAATGCAACAAACTGAATTTTGCCAACAACCTGAATGAGCTGGGAAGTAGATGCTTCCCCGGTGTGGAGAGCAGGACCAATAAAATGGCATTGGTCCAATCAAGATAGCATAAAGTGTATAAAACAAAGTGGAGCCTCTCATGTTAACCAAATGGCTGCCAGTTAGCCATGACACTTAGGTTCAGGGGGAAACTACTTAAGTCAGAGCAGAGACGTTTGGCAGGAAAACACACCTAAGATATCTGTATATGTGATCAGAATATCCATGTTTGTGGGGTGGGGCCACCCATAATAAATAGGCTCCTGGGAAAATTCCCCACTTGCCATCAGGGGTGCCAAGACTTACCAAAGACCCAGAAGGGTGGAGTACACCACTTTCAAGATATAACTGGGGTAGGCTCCAGACCACTGCAGAAACAATGAGCTACACACACCAGAGTGCTGCTCCACATCACGCTGATCTCCCTTGGCATTGACCACCAGAGGCTCTGCCCTGTGGGACTGAGGACTTTGCCTGCCCTGCTGCCCACCTGGCTCTGGAGATCCTTCCTTGCAGGATGCTGACAACTCCCTTGCCCACCGTGCTGTTTCCTGGACTTGCAGACTGAGACTCCAGGACTCCAGTTTGTTATTTCCCGTAGATTGCTCTGTGTGTGTGTGTGTGTGTGTGTGTGTGTTATATTTCTCTTAGATTGTTAGAGCATGAGTGGGATGTTAATGTATGTTGATATTCTACTTTGAATGTACTTGCATTCAATAAAAGCTGAGTGAGTAGCATAATTACTGTGTGTGACTCTTGTCTAGTTCTTGGTGCCGGGCTGCTCAGCAGGCAGCTAGCCACCAGTTGCCTGGCTGGGCTGACTTATTGGAAAGACCATAACACGAACATATACTTCCAGAGCCCCCTGGAAGGAACATGACCTATGCAGAGAACCCAGTCAAGCTCACCCAGACTTCTGATCTACAGAAACCATGAGATAATAAATGTGTGTTGCTTTCAGCTACTAAATTTGTGATAACTTGTTATAGTTAGGAAACTAACATAATCTTCAAAAACTTTCTTGGATACCCCTGGACCTGATACTAGGTATGATTCCAATTAAAGGGGCAAGAGAATGCTTGGCACTAACAGTGCAGTTCCCTAAAACAAATGACAATACAAATAATAACAAGCATTTAACATTTCTAGTTTCCTTCATAGTACTTATCATGGCTGAAGTTACAGAATTTGTTTATTCATTTGTTTAAGTTCTTGAAGACAAGGACGTGGACTACATATTTACCTCTGAATTCCCAGTGCTTTATGAAGTGCTGAGTACATAAACACTTTGATAATACAGTACTTGTGGAAGGAATAAATAAACTATTTTTGTTCTTAGGCTGGAATTTGATTCCTCAGAGGACATACTATATTTTTAGAGAGTTTTTTAAAAAAACCATAATGTATGCCATGGCACATAAACATTTTTTAAAAAAATTTTCACCTACTATGACTTGTTCTTGTTTGCTTTACTTTTGCTTTGTTTTCCAAAATGAAGTAATGAAAAGGCTAAGCAGAGTTGCCTTTAAAAATTGAAGTGCCCTGGGTCAGTCCCAGAATTTTGCTTGGGTCCCTGTGGATTATTTTCAAAGAAGGGGAAAAAGAGAGATTTTTCCCCACAAATTGTGGTCATTTAGTATCTCTGTTGTTCCTTTTCAACTCCCAGAACTTTATTATATAGAGTTCAGTAGTTATGAATCCTTGAGACCTCTGCTAAATCATTTTTTTGGGTAGTTTCCTCTTTCAGCTATGTTTTGCTTGCCAGTTTTTAAGTTTTCTGAAAGCTCTGTGGTCTATTAAATTGATTTGTTAGAGAAAGAGGAATGCTCTTAATTAAAATATTTAAAATTCAGGAGACTGAGCAAGTCTTCCTGGAAACAGAGGAAGTGGATGTTGGGGAAAAAAACCCAAAACCCAAAAATAAAAACAAACCCCTCCCTCTAATTTGTGTCTCTAATTCCAAGGAATTGAGTGAGCATTCATTGGAAAGCACCCTGCAGAAGAGAATGGCTGTCACCACCCTGTCCCTGCCCTTCCCCGCACCCCCTCCACCACCCACGTTAAAGGCATATTGACTTGAATAGCGGAGGGAAAAGGAGCCTTTGTCATTATCTCAGGCATTCATTCTTATTTGAGGCAGGCAATAGTTATTATTTCTTCAGGCACAAACATCACAATTCAATCATTAGGTTTATAATAAAAAGTAGTGAGAAGTACCTTTAATGCCCAGTCAGTCTCACAATTTGCACTGGGAGTGGGGTGCGATAGAAATCCTTTCTTTAAAATTCCCAGAGAAAAAAATTTCTGAATGCCTGTGGCTAGTTAGGGTAACCCATACAAAATAAATTGTATTACTAGACTTCAGAACAGAGTCCTGTTCCTTATCCTATTTAGTAAAAAATCAAAATAGTTCATATAAAAAATTTCCTCAGTAGTTTTGATGATGAGCAGAGTTCATTAAATAAGTGCATTATATACCTAATCCACTTACATATAACTTTTCTGTGGTACAGTGAGTTTATTGGCTTTAACTTCAGTGATTTAAGAGATTATATAAAGCAATCTGAATTTTCTCTCTTTTTCCCATTTAAATATTTTGTTGTTTATGCTATTATAGTTGTCCCAATTTTTCCCCTTGGACCCCTCCACCAGCCCACCCTCTTCTCCAACAGTCACTCCCTACACCGTTGTTCCACGTCCATGGGTCATGCATATATGTTCTCTGACTAATCTCGTCATTTTCTTTCAACTAGTCTCCACCACACCCCTTTCCTCACAGCTGTCAGTCTGTTCCATGTTTCTATGCCTCTTATTCTATGTTACTCATTAGTTTATTTTGCTCATTAGACTCCACTTGTAAATGAGATCATATGGTATTTGTCTTTCACTGACTGGCTTATTTCACTCAGCATAATAGTCTCTAGTTCCACCCATTCTGTCACAAAAGGTAAGAATTCCTTCTTTTTTAGTGCTGTGTAGCATTCTGTTGTGTAAATGTCCCACAGCTTTTTTATCCATTCATCTACTGATGGGCACTTAGGCTGTTTCCAAGTCTTGGTTCTTGTGAATAACATTGCTGTGAACATAGGGGTGCATTATATTATTTTTAAAATAATTTTTAAGATTGTATTTATTTATTTATAGAGAGAAGGGGAGGGAGGGAGAGAGGGAGAGAAACACCTCTGTGTGGTTGCCTCTCACAGGCCCCCTACTGGAGACCTGGCCTGAAACTCAGGCTTGTGCCTTGACTGGGAATTGAACTGGCAACCCTTTGGTTCACAGGTCAGCACTCAATCCATTGAACCATGCCAGCCTAGCAGGATTCTTAGGATATATTCCCAGAACTGGAATAGCTAGGTCAAAAAGCAGTTCCAAAGCCCTGGCTGGTGTAGCTCAGTGGATTGAGCATGGGCCTGTAAAGCGAAGCAAAAAGCAGTTCCATTTTTAATTTTTCTATGGAAACTCCATACTATTTTACAGAGTGGTTGCCCCAGTATGCATTTTCACCAACAGTGCATAGGGTTCTTTTTTCTCCACATCCTCACCAGCAATGCTGATTTATTTATCACAGCCATTTTGGTAGATGTGAGGTGGTATCTCATCGTGGTCTTAATTGGCCCCTCTCTGATGGATAGTGATGTTGAGCATCTTCTCGTATATCTATGGGCCATCTGTATGCTCTCCTCAGAGAAGTGTCTATTCAGGTCCTTTGGCCATTTTTTAATTGGATTGTTTATCTTCCTGGTGTGGAGTCATATGAGTTCTCTATATGTTTTGGAGATCAAACCTCTAATGCATTATTGGCAAATGTGTTCTCCCATTTGGTGGGTTCCCTTTTCATTTTGATGATGGTTTCTTTAGCTGTGCAGAAGCTTTTTAGTTTAATGTAGTCTCATTTGTTTATATTTTCCTTGCCCTAGGAGATGTATCAGCAAAAATATTGCTATGTGAGGTATCTGAAATTTTACTGCCTACATTTTCCTCTAGGATTTTTATGATATTGTAACCTATATTGAAGTCTTATATATCTTTTGTTTATTTTGAGTTTATTCTGGTGTATGATGTAAGCTGGTGGTCTAGCTTCATTTTTTTTGCAAGAGCTAAAATTTTTTACAATATCATTTATTGAAGATACTGTCTTCACTCCATTGTGTGCTCTTGCATCCTTTGTCATGTATTAATTGATCATAAAGGCATGGGTTCATTTCTGGGCTCTCTATTCTGTTCCATTGATCTATGTGTCTATTATTATGCCAGTACTGGACTGTTTTCATTACAGTGGCGTTGTAGTATAGTTTATTTTTTATTTTTAAAATATATTTTATTGATTATTCCATTACAGTTGTCCCATTTCTACCCCTTCATTCCCTTCCACCCTGCACACCTCCTCCCCCGTCATTCCTCCCCTTTAGTTCATGTCCATGTGTCACAAGTTCTTTAGATTCTACATTTCTCATACTATTCTTGCCCTCCCCACTATCTATTTTCTACCTACCATCTATGCTACTTATTTTGTGTACCTTCTCCCCCTTCT